CAATATGTTATCATTTGAAAATAATTGTATTAGATATTTAAATACAACTAATTAGGCAAATTGACACTCTACAGAAGGTTGGTCATTCAATCCCCGGTATTAACAGTTGGTGTTGAAGTTTTACCAAATTGAGAGAAAAGTGGTGCAAGAAAGAAAGCAATTAAGCCAAATTACTATGAAGGATCAATACATTGAAGCATCTTTAAACCTCATATACGGTAATACTTTTGGTCAATGAAGGCACTTCATGAACAGAAAACAGGAAGGTTACAGAAAAATTACTGTAAAACTTTGAGATTCATAGATCATAAAAGCAATATCAAAAGGAAAACAAAAAAAAAACACTTGGGAACCAACGTGTGTTGCTTGTGACAAACATTAAGGTTTTCAAATACAAAATATAATACCTAATAGGAAACTTAGTACAAACCAATTGAAAAAGTAACTCACTTATTACACTACACTAAATAAATAATGAATTGGTAAATTCAATCCTAAAGTGCAATAATACTACCAAATGAAGACATAAAAAAACATGTAGACAGAAATTACACACAAACACACAAAGACTAAACAATGACAAATCACAGACAATGCAGAGAGAAAGGTAGAAAATTACAATTGAAAAAACTACTGCTGCTTGCAAGTGAAATGACCAAAAAATAATCTCCCAAACATTTGTCTGCTCCAAGGGTCATTTTTGGTAACACTCACAACTCAAAAATCAGTAAAAATCAAATAAGTCACTTAGAAAATTATCACTGACCTAATTTTACAGAGAGATGGACTAGTAAGTAGGTGCTATTAACATGTTCACTGCAGGGATAAATTGGAAGAAGTGCAAAGGGTGAGATGTGATCAACAGTGAACATGAACTTAAGAACTAAATAGGAATGACTTATCAACATTTCTGCTACAGTGAATAATTCCATATGCCACTCTTACATAAAGGCAGTGGAAATCGATTGCTATTTTTATTTAAATCTCATACACATCCATTAAATGTGGTGCATCTCAGATTCAAATAAAAAATAAGGTAAAGGTGTTTCTAAAAATAAAGTGATACACAACACACCCTACCATATTGGCACTTAATCACAATACCAATAAAACTTAAGTTCTGAACACCAGCAAACTTCTTGGCATTTAAAAAATGTCTTACGAATTTATCAGCACATAGTTGGACCCAAAAGATACAGTACACTTGGCATCAAATCACATTGACCACATTATAGTTAAAGTTAAGACAACCTTGTTACACATATCAATAGTATCACACCTTTTTTGTAAAATCTTCAGCCACACCACCCCAGCGAAGACGATAAGAACGAGATCTCCACTGTATTTGAGGGTCTTTCACAGCGTGTAGAAATAAGGGCAGCCCAGTGAACTCTCTAAATAGCCACCCTAGTACGAATTCAAATTTACTGAATGGTAGGGTTCCATGCTGTAGAACAGATACAAAAATTAAGAGATACAGTAAATCAAAAGCAAGATAGAGATAATATTATCATACACCGTACTGTCTATTGATCTCACCTGAATTATACTAAGGAGAATGAAATCACACAGAAACCATAATAATAAGTGTACCATGAAGAAAACTAATGGGTCCCATCTCAGGAGAAAATGAGTGGCCCATGAAGTAGCTGCTCCAAGTAAGACACATTCAGACAATGGCTCAATGACTGTTGTAAGAGGAACCATTGCTAAACGTAACTTTATCCATCTGAAAGTTAGGAAATAGAGTTGTATCTCAAGTAATAGTTTATTGTAGGATAATAGACACCTGTAGGAAGCTATACTAGCACAGTTACCTTGCTAATCTGGCCTGAAATGCAGTTACTTCACAAAATCCTGAATTTTGCAAAGCAGGCTGACTTGAAATGCGAATGCGCCATTTCCTATCAGTTATACTCTTTGCTATGAAGAAATCTTCCGCTAAGTATACACCAAACGTTCGTAGCCCTCCAACTTCATCCAAAAGTTTCTTTCTCATGAGTGTTGACATGCCAGTATGACAATTTATACGTAATAAATCAGCAACTAAGTACATTCTTGCCATTATAGTACCAAAGAAAATCTGAGAAATAAGTGAAAGATTTTATTAGGTCTTGTATGCTAAATCAATTCCTGCTTGGGCAATGAAAATATAAAACAAAAAAAAAGATACTGACTTTTTCGTAAGTGGCTGCAAAACCTTCTCGATCATAGGTGAAGGGCATTTGGTGGACAATGCCTGTGTTTTCTGTGAGGTGCTGGACCATGTCAAGGAGTGTATCTTCTTTCACTTAAAGAAATCAGAAAAAATATGCATTAGATCAGCATAACAAAAATAAAGTCCAGAAGTGGAGAAAACAAAAATGCCTAAAAAGCTCATAATTTTTTTTTAAAATAGCTTACAACGGATGCCAGCGTCAGAAATCATTATTAGTTCATACTTTGCTGCACTATAGCCTGTCTGCATGTTGTTTATTTTAGGATTAATGCCCACTTGCTCTCCACCTAAAGAGGCAAAAATTAAACGTTTACCACCCATTTCAATGGCCAATTATCTTTCATGCTGTTTTAGATTACACAGAAATTCACATACCTATAAACAAAGAAGCATTAACATGCTTGTATTTTTCAATAAGTTGTCGCACAATGGGAACAGCATCATCGAGCTCGTTTTCGATGCAAAATAGAAGTTCGTACTGGAACAGAGATAATATACAAAGTTAACTTTAAAACAAAGTAAGAGGTGGTGACAAAAATATAGTAATGACACTTACTGTGGGATAATTCATAACAAAGAATGTCTCAAGGTTACTGTAAAGATTGGGGTCGCAGCCAGTGAGTGGTTTCAAAATGGATATACCAGGAAGAGGAGTTTCTGGACATGTCTTCTCAACTCTTCTATGAAGACGATACTTTCTGTGAGGGAAAAACATGGAAAGGATCAATACAAAGATGCACAGTCTTCATGAAAGAATAAATATTGTATTAATCATAACACATCTAAGCAGGATTTAGAAACTTACGCATAAACAACAGCCATGAAGTGCATTGTTCTAATTCCTAACCAAAATATAATAAAAAATAAGGCCAAACATTCAGGAATATTGGTTATAACATTGGACGCGTTCCACCACATGGCATAAATCGTTGCTGAGTACGTTTTTGTCTGCAAGCAGATGGCAACCTGGAAAATACAGAACAGTGTGAGTATTTGATAAATTGAAATTTGAAACACTCAAATGCTACAACCTATGTAGAGTTTCTTGGACATTTTAACAGCAAAAAACATGTAATATTTTCAACAAGGGCTTGTCCACCTATTTTTGAAAGACAAAGGAGCAGCAGCTTGAGAATGATCTCTCCATAAGCTCTTGACACAGCGTCCAGACAACGAGCATTACGAGGGGACTAGAAAAGAAGGAGAGGGGGAAAGGAGGGGGAGAATTTAGGGCCTCCTCCAGCATTCATAATAAGACTAACTGGTGTACTTCCAAAAAAGAAAAAAGAAAAGAAAAAGGATAAGATCGATAAAGATGTAAAAAATAATGGAAAATAGTGAGAATGTAAACAAAACATTTCTGTCTGTTATAATTGAAACAGATGCTTTCACATTTAATGCAAGCCTTGGGAGAAGGACAGATATTTATGCAGAAGGACACACGCTCACAGTTATAGACCTTAAATTTAAAGAAATTTAAGTGGCTTCAAATGCAGAGTTCCTCACCACCAGGTCTAGGCATTTGGCTAACTTACGCAAACTTAAAATAGGTTGACAACTGGTAACTTGGGAACTTTTCATCATTTAAGTCGACACATCATTGGACAGTTTGAGCTTGTGAGAGTGTGAATACCAGAAGTACCAGCGAGCCATCCAGAATCACTGACAGAATCAAACTGCGCTTACTCCTTACCCAGACAGGTACCTGGTGACTGAGGTGTGCACAGATAGCAGATAAGATATACAAACTCTCCCTTCTCCCTTGTGGTGAGAATTAATAAAAAGGGGTTATAGATGAGGTTGCTAGGTATATTCGAGAAAATGAGATTTAAAGATCGAGAGAGACATATTTAAAGCTAGAAAACATATTTGAGAAGCCATAAAGCAAGTTTATGCACCCCTATCATGTACCTTTGCTAGGACCAAACGCGCTGTAAAATATACAAAACTACGGGAAGTAAGTCTTAAATTTAACTTTTCCTACAATCAAGCGGAAAACCAATCTGATTTTGACAGAACTTTGATCAAAATTACCTAAGACAAACATGCCCTAACCTTGAAATCAGACCTTGGGGCACCAGGAGGGGCTGCACAGGCGGGACTTGGAACGAAAACGGGCGCCGGATTTTTTCGACTTTGAACTTACGTGTTATCTGTGTAGAAGAGGTCGTTAAAAAGGCAGCAAAATGAAGAAAAAGCAGGCGATTGATCGTCCACAGAGACAATCCCCGCCATGTTTTGACATTAAGCCAATGCCATTGCTTCCACTCATGCCTCCCTTCAGCCCGCAACTGCTGTCTGTCTGCTGTCAAGTGAAGTGTGCTGTGTGAGTCACTGTACGTGACGGGGGGTGAACGGGGAGAGGGGGAAAGGATTAAGGGAAGGGGCGGGGCGGCGAAAAGAAAAGTGAAAAGTTCCTGACTAATTTGTGAAAATATTTTCGACTCATCTAGCTGTGAAATTGTCCAGGTTTCATAGTTATTATGAGCACAGCTCTGCGTTGTAGACCCAGTTTTATGGTTTCGTGTGTACTGTTGGCCGGCCGCTGTTCGTTCGTACTTGGGCGTGCGTGCGTTGGCAAAACTGCGCGGCGGGAGATAAGCTGAGCGTTTGAAATCGACGGCCATGGCCGTGACAACGCAGGATGGGGCCCGTAGGGTGAATCACTTCCGCTATTATCTTCGAATGTACATAAACTCACACCAGGAAAAACCTGATAATCAACTCAAATAATTTCGGCCCCTCAGCTTTTTACAACCTAGGGTTCCCCCCTGTACATACCTACTCCCTCCGTCACGCACAAGGTAAGGCGAAAGGGGTGAAAAGGGGTTGTGGCATAATCCCTATCAGACACTAAAGCCTCCCTCCCCTTCCCTCTCCGTGAACAAGAGAGGGGGCGGGGGCGTTATATAGGACACACCACGCGGGAGCGGGAGCCGGGCGGAGAGCAAGGGCGCAAGGACGGGGAAGGGCTTCCGGATATCGTGCTTTGCTTTCTATGGTCACTGACCCACCCCGGTGACAGGGGAAGTCGGGGGAGGGGTGCGAACGCCAAGGCCGGGACCTCCTGTCTCCCATTCATTACTCTGGCAGCGAGAACAGAAAGACTAACTACACAGCCCTCCCCTCGGCCTAGGGCGACAATCTCCAGCTGCCGCCACCCCGCCGCCGCCACCCCCGACCGAAGGAGTCTGAGACCAAGCCATTCATGAACCGTCCAGGTAAACACTTCCGTGCGGGTGCGGGGTGCGGCCGACCTGAGGGCGGCGAGCTTGGTCGGCTGGCTGCAGTGACCCTCCAGTGACCCAATAACAGCAGCTCATGCCATGCAGCCGGTCATACACCTTACTCACGATAATGGAGGAGCTGCCAGCTTTCGGGGAGCAGTCGCAGAAGTCAGGCAGGAGTTCGCTGATGCTGCGGCCACGCTGGTCCTGGCCCTGGCCGTCCTCCTCCCCGACCGGACTGCGGCCACCGCGTCTCTCGCACACGGACCACGCACGGACTGCGAGCCGTACTATCAGCGACTGCTGCGATACGTTTGCTCGTCCTCCGTCCTGCCCGCCCGAGAGACTCAGATGGCGGTGACGTCGCGTGACCGCCCCGGGTATGTGCGATTAGAAAGCTCCACGTGAGCTACCAGATAGCGTTTTCTAAATCGTCTTCTTCTGAACCACTCGAAATATGAGGAGGGGGGATCGGGAATATCGCCCCCCGGTGATAGCCGTGCGCGGGTGGCGCCATCTCGGCAGTGGCGGGGCGGGGTGGGCCGGGGCGGGCGGGGCCGGCGGGGGTGGGCGCGGCTGCTATTCGTCACAGCCAGGTGGCCCCCCGCGGCCTCGGGCCTTTGTAATCAGTCAAGGACTATTGACAAGCACTTTGGGACGCCTGCATGCAGTATCTATGGATCCGCAGACCAGGCGGAAGCTGCCCCGGCGCCCCGCGCTCTTAGACACCCCTCCGCGCCCACGGCGGGCAAATAAACACCAGGCGTGTACGACGGACGAGTGAGAGCGAGAAAAAGAGAGAGAGAGAGAGAGCTATATGGATGGAAGGGGCGTGTAAACAAACGGCGAGATATCGTGATAGAAAAGCCTTGTGTTTGTCCAGGGCAGGGCCTCGGGCAGGGCGCTGCGGCGCGGCCCCCCGGGCACACACGTGGAGGCCGCGGGCGCGTCGGCGAGGGGCACCCCGGCTCCGCGGCTCTGGGTACTCGCTGAGATAGTACCCCCCACCCTCCCTCCGAAGCCCCTGTCCTTCTGCTGCGCCGGCCCCGCCCCCGCCTCGCCAGGCGCAGCCCCCGCTCCAGATGGGGCCTTTGGTTTATGTTTGGAGGAGACGTTTACGGCCTACATGGTCGCGAGGAGGCTACACTAGGCTTGCTGGGCCTGATCCCCGCGCCTCTTTCGTGGAAAGGCCAAGTGTACGCGTACGCCCCGCGCCGCGCCCAGGCCAGGGAGGTCTTCCCTCCAGTTCACACGAATACGCCGTCGTGGAACTCCCTCTCATGTTTAAGCGCCACGAAGCAGGCTGTTGGTTTTGGCGTCGGGGCGGGAGGCGGTGGGG